GGGGGGGGGGGGGGGGGGGTCAGGGATGGCCCCCCTCCTGGTCACGGGCCCTTGGGCAATCCCTGACTGCCCGTATGGTCAGTCTGCCCCTGCGCATAACTGAATTCTGGTAGAATAAAGGAGCACAAGGGGAGGCCACCACATAGTGTATTAAAACTTATGTTCATTTGCGGTGTGGTATGTAAGAAAATCCAGAAGGTGTTATATGCTCCCTTCCATGGCCAGCGATCAGGTGCAGTATTTGGATCCAGAAACTGCACCTGATCGCTGGACCAAGAGGGAGTATATTGCATTTTCCAAATCTTCTTACATGCCAAGTGGACTTCTATATTAAAGGAGAACTATGAGGTGAGTGATTTCCACTCATTCTCATAGTTAGAGCCGACATGTGACAAAGAAGCTGTCACAGGTTGGCTACCGTATATACTCGAATATAAGCCGAGTTTTTCAGCCCATTTTTTTTGCTGAAAAGTGCCCCCCTCAGCTTATACTCGAGTCAGCGTCAGCTGGTCAGGTTTCTTCTTACTTACCTCGTCGAGCTTTGCGTCACTGCTGCTCCGGTGGGCGGCGCTCCGAGCGGGGTCATCTGGCAGTCTCCGGGTCCTAATTTAGGTGGCCGGAGACTGGCAGATGACCCCGCTCGGAGCGCCGCCCACCGGAGCAGCATATTAAATGATCTGTATATAGCCCTATACTATGGATCATTTAACCCATTCATGTTAGCAGAGGATCATTGTAAATTTATTGTTGCAGGCACTCTATATGTACATGTACTACAGTGTATATACTACATATAGAGTGCACTGAACAATAGATTTACAATTATCCTCTGCTAATATGAATGGGTTAAATGATCCGTAGTACATGATATGTAGCCCTGTACCCCCTTTTCCACTTACAGAGCTAGGTTATTGTTTTTCTTTTAAATAAATATTCATGTAATTTTATTGGTATCTATCTTCATTTTGTACATTTACCAGTAGCTGCCTCATTTCCCACCCTCGGCTTATACTCGGGTCAATATTTTTTCCCAGTTTTTTGTGGTAAAATTAGGTACCTCGGCTTATATTCGGGACGGCTTATACTCGAGTATATACGGTATATTGATCGGGAAGTGAGAGAGCACATACCGTCGCTCGCTCACTTTCTGATCATCTCCCTGCAGAGAGCGGTACTGTTAGTCACTGCTCCCCGCAGGGATTTCCCCCTTCCCTCTCCGATCCTCCAGCACTGAGTGGAGGAACGAACGGGGGAGGCACAGCTGGCTCTGCCTCTAGATAGGCAGAGCCATCTGTCAATCACGCAGCTGAGTGGACCCAGACAGTATTGTCAGGATCCGTCCCGGCTGTGGCACTATCAGTATATCGCGGGCAAAAGCTTGCGATATACTGAGCTTTGGGCCACAGGAGGAGGTTAGTATAAGTCCTCTTTGCACCCCTTTTGTACTTTTCTGTGGAAATATATACACATTCATCTAAAAGAGCATTCTGAGGTCAGATACAGATGTTGGATGAGAAAAGTTGGCTTCCATTTCGCTTTCCAGAAGTGTTCAGTAGGGTTGAGATCAGGGTTCTGAGCTGAACTCTTGAGTTCCTTCACACCAGAGTCATCAAACCATGTCTTTCTGGAGCTGGTTTTGAGAGCAGGGAAACAGTCATGGCCTTACCTAAGCTGTTGGTAAAAGGTTTGATGTGAACAATTGCCTAAAATGTCTCTCTCTCTCTCTATATATATATATATATATATATTTATTTGAATATTCTATGTATGTATGTTTATTGCACAGACACTTCTGATGAACATAATGGCATAATGAAGAAACATTATCAATTATTTTGAAATGTATTAATTTGTTTATTTTTTTAAAGACGCATACAATTGGTACCTATTAATTACTGTCTAAGCAGTACATCAATCTTTCCTTGGAATGCTTCTGCTTTGGCAAAGTAACCAGCTTACTTTGCATATCAGTAATAATAGTAATTACAAGTACTTAGCATGTTATCATTGGAAGGTAGATGTGGATATATTTATGTTAATTTTAGACTTGTTGAAACATTTGGGTTACGGAATATCCCTCAGCAAATATATAACATTTCTTTTAGTTCACCTAGATATTCCTTCGAAAAAAAAATCACTACAGACCTGAAGTAGTTTAATTACGGGCAATCTGTCTACCTTGATTACACTCCACCTGAAATATGAAGTCAGGCTAGCACTGAGAAAACCTGCTCTGTAGGCTAATGTACAGGAGAGAGATCAGGATGGGCATCACTACTTTGTGAAATTAATTCCAAAATGTTTATCTCATTTCTATTTTGGGTTCGGGAGTGATTTTCTACTTTAGGGCAAATTGGCACACAGTATTTTTGGTTTTCTCTAGGGTTTTATAAGAGGGTTTCAGATGGATTTTTTTTTAAAGTTGAAACACTATGGACAACATAACAAATCATTAGGGCTAGATTTACCATTTTGCACAGTGCCATTGCTTTTGGGCAGCAGAGACAAAGGGGTGACTTTACCGTGCATAGTTATATTTAGCCACATTTTTTCCCATCATAGGAGAAATACTTGTACCTCTTATAAACTAATATTCCAATTAGGTGTCCTGTGTAAGAGAGATTGTTCTAGTAGAGAAATTCTGCTTAGGAAGCCAAAAAGCCCCTGCCTACAGGATCCATTGATCAATATCCAGCCCTGACAACCTTGTAACTATATTTGCTCTTCATGCAATAATAGTCATAGTAATGTATTGTAGACCCCACTAAATTATTTTATTACTGTTGAATTATTTTGGGTTTCTGGGCCTGAGGATGATTAGAAGGATATTTGGGTTGACTGGGTTGATCTGGGTACAGAAAGAATAGGCTTTATTATGGGAAAAGCTTCCTGTATAAATGGGAATTTCCCAAAGAAAATGGGAATTTTCTAATAGATTGGGGCTTCTCTATGTGGTTACAGGGAATGCCTGGTGCCTCCTACAAGGGGAGCCCTTCATGACACTAAGGGACCCAGAAACAACTAAATATTGGAGGTAAGGGTAGGGGTTATCCATTCCTGGTGCTTGGTATCTAGTATTTTGAAATGAAAACAGAATGAAAGAGAGATAAAAGTGTAGGAACATTTTCCTTCAGGGTACATTTAAACAATGTCAATTTCTACATAGTGAAGTGTTTGTTTTTACAACTGATTTGCAAAAGAGGTTACAAGGTCTGAAGTTCCATTGACTTCCTCCGAGGCTGTTCATGTCTTTCTTCCCAGTCTTCTTCTACTTCAATAGATGGTATTTTCCCTAACAGAATTGCCAGTTTCTCACGGAAGGTTTGCTCCTGGGGACAGAGTACATAATTGTAGATCAATGATGCAAGTATGGCTCCTACCATTGGTCCAATCCAAAAGATCTGTCAAAAAATAGAAAGCTAATTTAATAAAAAACTAAATACAAACTGTCATACAAGCATACTAAAGTGCTAAAGTATTTTGTGCAACTTTACTATGAAGTAACTATTGATTTTGATGCGCAGACCGCTAAACAAATTGTATATTAGCATTTACATGCCCCTTTCAAACAAAAAATGCCTACGTGTTTGAACGTATGCACATTGCTCCCGGAGGCATTAAAGGGTCTGTACACTTCAAGCTAATATTTTAAATGTTGTTAGACACTAGCCAGTTAAATCATCTGACAGTTTTGAATATATCTAAGGCATTCCATTGGTGACACATCTGGTTCTGCACACCTACTGTGGCCATTATGAGGGGCTCCCGCTCTCCTTGTGATTTTTTTTTAGATTTTTTTTATTATGGCTAATGCAAGAGGAGACAAAGAAGCACAAAAGCGCTCAAACAGCCTACAAGTCCACACCTAAGTACAAAATCACTTTGGGTGGACTAGCTCTTTAAATACGGAATCTAATATTCTTATGCAGTTGCATAGTAGGAAACATTTCTTTCTGTTCTTATGAAGCCATATAATGTTTTGGAAAGAGGGGGATATGGGAGATGTTCTGGCTATTGCATGCTCATGCCATTACTGTAGCCTGCCTAATAAATATGCAAAAACAAAATATAGCTGTCTAAACAATTGACGATCAGACCACCAGGAGCAACATGAGACTGCAGCATGAGCAGTTCAACCTTTGAGAAATTTAGCCAATAAGCACAATATAGATATTTGTACAATGTAGATATTTAGCATCTCTGCTTTTATAACTTGGCACCTAGTATGACCATCTCAAGGCTCAAAATTGAAGAACATTTGCTTATGCAACAGAAAAGCTGTGCTCAAAGCAGACAATAACATATTTTTGTACATGCAGTAATTCCATCAAACTGACATTTGGTCATCTGCAGTACTATACAATATATAGCACTGAACATAATCCTATATTTGTAGCGCCAATGGGTATAGGCAGTTTGGAAGTGGTGTTAGCATTTCAGAACATTGAAATCTTACCCAGTGTGCAGTGAAGTTTCCCACTACCAGTGCTGGTCCGAAGGAGCGAGCTGGATTCATAGAGCAGCCAGTGAAATAAATCTAGATCCAAGAAAAAGAATCAATAATACATACCGTAATAGTAGTATCCCTGGAGACATATCATGCGTTATTTTAAATAATAAACCTATTAAACGTGGGGTCCAATGTTTACCATGCAGCATTTCAGTCGTTGTAATGCTAGCGTGCTTGTGCCGACGAGGAGTGCCTGCCTTTTTGGGTCCGGTTTGCAGTACTGTTTGTACATTACAGGAAGTTGGCTCTTGTTAGACGTGCAGACGAGGGGTGCCCGCCTCTTCTTTCGGGTCACTGTGAGGTTTTTACTGCTGTCTGTATCCTCATTAGAAAGATTTAATCTCATTTCCTGTCCTTGAGACAACAGGAAGTGAAAGGTAATCTACCCCCATGAAGTGATATTTACTCCTGTAAGAGTTATCATGGGAAAAAGGTGTCTCCACCGAAACTTTATCACCAATCCTTGTTTAGACGACAACCCAAAATTTTCAAAATCCAATTGTCACAGGGACAGAAAGTGAGGTGAAATCTTCTTAACAGGGGCACACACAGCAACACAAACGTTACAGGGGGATAACCTTTCACTATGCTATCCAAAACGAAAAAATTATTTTTGGCTGGAGTTACACTTAAAAAATGTACCTGTTCCAACTTACATACAAATTCAACTTAAGAACAAACCTACAGAACCGATCTTGTTCGTAACCCAGGGACTGCCTGTACGTCTATTTTCCTTTATTTTCCCTTGGTAATTCTTTTAGTAACACACTTTTTGTCCATAGGGTGACATCGTTCACTCCATTTTTTTTATCAATATTTATTTTCATTAAAACACCATCTAACACATATAGCCTTGTAGAGTATTTTTGTTAAGTTGGTGTTCTGTTGCCCTTCCGGATTGGTACTAAGGTAACAGTGACAGCTAATATCTTCAAGAAGATATAATTGTCAAGAAAGTTTTCCCAGCTTCCTTCACCCTTACTAATTGGGCTCTACTAATGCATTTTTAATTTTTTGTAAGTCACTCTATATCAATGTTTCCTATGGTGCACACCGGTCACAAGGCATGCTTGGAGTCATTACTCAGTGATACTTCTAAAGCTGCAGGGTGTCTCTTTATAAATGAGGCTTTTAAACTGGGAGGAAACCAAGCAGATCAATAAGTTATCATCAGCTCTTAAGTTGCCCTCTTAGAAATTTTAAAGTTTCCAGCTATTCATCAGTCTAAAATATATTAATATGCAGTAAAATAAAAATGTTTATTTTAAGTGAGAATTATGGAGCATTTTACGTAAATGATGATAGGTTGTAAAAGTTAATGGCTGCTTCACATAAGATTTGAGATGCAAATGATTTCCTTTCCCACAGGGTTCTTTCTGCTCAGATGATAAACTGTTTGACATAGTGTGGTGAGATCTGTTTATTCGGTCTAATCAATAGCTTTTGAGAGTTATTGCATGCTATTAATAAACGCCCATGCTAATGGCTGAGGACTTCTAATCTAGAATCTGTATATTACTTGAACAGCACAAGGTTTATTTGGTAAAGCAACTAAAAGAGTAGTGATCATGTGGAAAGTTCTGTAAGCTATAGCAGCCAATTGATAATGATGTTTGTGTTGTTTAGATGCTAGGGGTTACCGAATATCTTTGATTTTTCTTCGCCATTTATTAATAATTTAGAGTTGTATTAAAAGCAGAACTTGTATACGCCACTATCTGTAATCAATTAACAATCCTGCCTTCTTTCTACGGTACGCAATGGAAGATCATTTAAAATCCAAACCCAGTATCTGAACCCTTCATAATAATAATAATGGTAACAGTCACTGGATTTCACATCTCAATGACTGACAACAAAGCTTATGAAGTAACACAGCAGGAATACTGCATACAATGTAGAAAAAGTATTAAAAGTAGCCGTGGACAACCCTGAAGGGTGACAATTCAGCAAGCCAAATACAATGTCCTAGTGAGGACTTGGCCTTTAGAGCAAGGATGGTCTAATAATCTAATTTAATTATTGTGCATAGAGATTTTACAATGTGCAACAAAGCCCATCTGTCCCTCTTCTTAATGAAATATGGAAAGGAGGTGGTAACTATTCTAGTGTCCAGTTTGTGAGTTGCTGAAATAAATCCCTGACAGTTCTCTGAACTAAAGAGGATTGGACAAATACCCAACTATCTAGAGAACATTGGATAAGAGGAACCACATATACAACATCTACGATTGCTCGTAAGTGGGGTTTGGGGAGTAAAATATTTTGTCGAAGGAACAAAATTACAATGCAAAATCTCAATACAAATTAGTAAACCAAACGTGAGATTGTAGTCCATCACAGGAGTAATATATTAAAGATCTGCGCTCCTGGAGCTAATTAGGAACAATATAACCTAAAGCTGCTATGAAAAAGGGGAGGATAGGTCCCTGAAAATAATAAAAAAAGACACAGCGCTAGAGGTGAAGGACTAATTAGTCGTTATAAAATGTAGTGAATATAAGTGATATTAATGGTGAGTATATTAGTGAGTAATATTGATGGCCCTCGCCATCAATATTACTATTTTGTCACATTGTGATCCTATTTACAGTATGGCTTTTTAAGTCATTATATTTCCGAATCCTATTTTTTCACAAAGGATTTTGCACTATTATTGGTTTTATTAGGTTTGTTTAATATAAAATGTCAACACAATATATTTATTAATATTACTCACTAATATACTCACTATTAATATCACTTATATTCACTACATTTTATAACGACTAATATAGCACATTAGTCCTTCACCTCTAGCGCTGTGTCTTTTTTAATTATCATCACAGGAGTAAGCTTGGAGCGGTGGCTACTTTACAACACATACAGGAACCATGGGGAACAAAAGTAGCCCCCCTCCAGGAGTAAGGACAGTGTCAGCACCAATCCAGAGATGATTTGAGGATCTACAGCCGAGTGATAAACAAATAATATACATTCTTGAAAATAGTTGGGGTACTTGAATGCATTTTTAAGGTTTACCTCCTGAGTTTAGTGTCACTTTAACATAGCACCTGCTGGAGAGGTAAGTATAAATCTTCTTCTACAGAGTACTTCTGTTGGAGAATTTCCACCCTATGACCAGCGATCAGCAATATATGTTCGCTGAGTTCCCAATCAATAGAGCCGACATGCGACAGCTTCAGTGTCACACATCGACTTTACTTATGGTAAGTATGCTAATTATTATGTATTTCACTCTCCCCATAATTCTCCTTCAATGTACTTGTATGCTTTTTTAAGATTGAACTTAGTATAGAGTCACTTTAATAAATAAGAAAGGTTGCTGCAGCCCAGAAATCGGGGAATTATTTCCTTTTCTGACTAATTTGTACATTGAGCCAGACCAGAACCTGGGGACTGCACAGCGGAGCTTGTGATGAGCCACTCACCTTGATCAGTATGTATACTTTGTTGTGTGACTGTCCCTTATGTTATTTCCCTTTTCCATATTTCTATTTACTCTCGTAAGATGAAACTCTAAGTGCTTAGTGGATTTTCCTTCTTTTTTCACACAAGCCTGTGCGCATCCTGTGATTGGGGTTCATATCAGATCTCTATGATCTCTGCTTAGTATTTAGCACAGTTATAAAATCATAGATATACAAAAACCTGAATATGATAAAGCATATTACACAATTCCAATATTTCAGGAATTGCAAGAGTTCAGCAATAAATTTCATGTCCAAGGTCAGATAGCGGTATGGCAGATTGCCCAAATGAGGTTATCTTGTGAGTAGAATTTATCAGAAATTCATTTGGATACAGTTATAAAACAGGAATAAAGGAGAACCTAAAGCACAGTGCTAAATGTATAAAGTGAACAGATCTTAAGACCCCGTTCACACTGAGCGGTATGTTGCGCGATTTCCGCTCCAAAATCGTGCATATTTCCACGCATCGTCGCTCAATGTAGCTTGCACAATGCATTTCAATGGAGCTGTTCACATCTCACAGCTCAGTGTCGCCTGTAGCTTGTCGCTCAAGCTTGTAGCTTATTTTTCCGCGGATTTGGCCCCAATAGACTCAATGGTGTCGCTCAATATCGCACAGTACCGGCGATATTGCGCGACCTTGTTGCGCAATATTGCGCTACAGAAGTGTAACTTTTGCACAGCAATATGGAAGGAAGGAATGATATCACATCAAGACAGCTATAAAGCAGTAGATATAGGCAAACAGTTTTTTTAAAAAAACAGCTAAAACAGCGGTTTAAACTTACCTTTTTTTCTTTGCGCGCTCCTGCCCGAGAAAACGAAACTGTTCGGGCGGCCTCAAAGCATCTTGGGGCGGGCGCATGAGCAGTTCGGATTCTCGGCCGGGAGACGAGCAGAGACGCAAGGTAAGTGTATGGACGCGTGCTCCCACATGCAGACACCGCTGGATCAGAGAGACAGAGCAGTCAGCGCTGGATCGGAGAGCCGCTGCACCGCTGGAGGGACAGATGAAAACATCAGGAAAGAAGAAGAAGATCGGAATAAGAGACATCATTTAAGGTAAGTGCTAACATTAACATGGGGTGGGGGGGGGGGAATTTGACTTTAATGTCACTTTAAGTTTCAAACTGAACTCCCCAGATAACAAGCAATTGAGCTGCAAGTTTGAAAATGACTTGCTAAGCTATTGCTAGGCTTGCCAAGCTTCACAATTTTGTTGCACAATTACAGCAAGTCTTCATTGCAAGTCTCCAGATCAACGTGCTTTGCAAAAGTGCTGTACACTTGCAGAGCTCTTGCTAAGACCTGCAGGACTCTTGCTGTAGACTTGCCAAGCCAATTTGCTACAAATTCAAAAAGTGTCAACTAGAACTTGTGCTGCGAGTGTTCTGCAAGTCTACAACTTGCCAGGAATGTGTGCAGCAAGTTAACAAGAATTACAAATTTGTGGCAAGTTATCCTTGCTGTCTGGGTCCAGGCTAGCAGCTAATACACCGCTGAAACACATACAGGTGAAACTCGAATAATTAGAATATCGTGCAAAAGTAATTGCAGTAAGTGCTGCAAAAGGGGCCCAAACCAAGTACTGAGTACATATGCATGCTTGTACTTTTCAGAGGTCCGATATTGTTCTATGTACAATCCTTGTTTTATTGATTGCATGTAATAATCTACTTTTTTGAGGTTGTGGATTTGGGGTTCTTGGGGTTTTCATGAGCTGTAAGCCATAATCATCACAATTATGAAAAATAACAGCTTGAATTATCTTGCTTTGCATGTAATGAGTCTATCTCATATATTAGTTTCACCTTTTAAGTTGCATTAGTGAAATAAATGAACTTTGCACGATATTCTAATTATTCGAGTTTCACCTGTATATGGTAGCTGTTTTACCTGCCACAGGAATTGCTATTTTATCCAGAGAGTCCTGTGATTTACACAGCCCAGCCATTAGGCAATACAGCTTGATCCCCTCTCTGTGATTGGACAATAGTAGCCTAATAAGGTCAAAACTTCACCAGTGTGTTCTTTGGCAGCACATGCTCACTGTAGCAGAGCCTGATTGGCTCCTTGTGCTTCCTTCTGCTAGTTTGAGTTCTACAGTGCAGGGAATTAGAGGCTGATATTAAAATGAAAAACTTTGAGTACCCTAGCTGCATTTAAAATTACATTTAGAGGGTTATTCACAAAAGGGTGAAGAGTTTGGAGAAGGCAGGAGAAGTGAACAATCTAGGACAACATAGCTAAACTGGAAAGTGAGCTGAATTGGATAATTTTTCCAAATCAGCTATGTTGTCCTAGATTGTTCACTTCTCCTGCCTTCTCCAGGCCCTTCCCCCTGAGTGATTAACCCTGTAAATGTTAAAGTCCATGTCCACGTATAGCTCTCCCCCCTCCCACCCCCTTTCCACCAGTTACAAAAAATATAAAAGTACCTTCTAAAGCTGTTTCCTTACTCACCCAACTCATCTGTCCATGTATCTCACAGGCAATGTTTTCGCAAGTTATGACCAGTGATTCAGAGCTGCTGCATAGACCGGTCACCTCTTTGTGATGTCATCACAACGCTGCAGCTTTCTGCATCCTTAGAAGTCCCTGGTATTGGACAGCCAATAGGAAGAGTTCATGTCATCCAAGCAGTTGCTAAAAGACTTGGGGCCAGGGCCATCACTATGATGAGGCAGCGTGAGGCTGTTGCCTCAGGCAGCATTTCTTTGGGTTATTTTGGGGGGCAGCAGGCAGAGCAGCATGGCCCTGGTGCACAATGTTGCAGTGTACCTCTCGCCTCCTTTCCAGCCAGAGCATCCCATGCTGCTATGATCCAGGCAAGAAGATGTGCAAGGGCCATACACATCTTCCCACTCAGCTCTTAGCAACCTGGGACCCTCTGGCCGGTGTCCTGCTCAGCTCCTGGCAAGCAGTGCTGTCTTTGGTTGCCAGGAGCTGAGCTGGACGCTGGCTGCGGGAGAAGGGCCTGGATGCACCCTTCCCACCTTAAGAGGTAAAAATGCTAGGGACACCACTGAATATAATATAATTATTATATAATATAATATATATATATAATTAAACCTCCCCCCAACGGTTAGAGTGCAGCACTGCCACCCCCCAAGTGGCCCAGAAACATTGTCATTTTTTTGACAATTTGCCTCTGAGCGGTGGAGGTCAGCTTGGTAGAGACAGGGCTTTGTTTCCTCAGGTCAGAGCCTCCAGTAAGGAGAACAATTGGGAACACAGCAGTGACATCACCAAATCTCACGCCAAATCTCCTGAGACTAGCAGTCAGAAGCAGCCTTAAGAAATGTCTTAGATCTCACACTACAGATAGAGAGCTACAAAGCTGTATGGGCAGCAGTGCCTAGGGACCCCCACATAGCAGAAAGGGCACTGCCATTTTTCAAGATGATTACCAGACAAAAGGTACATTTTTGGGGGCACTGCTGAGGCACAATTAAAACTTTAAAATGTTCCCTATAACGCAGCAAGTCATCAGTTTTTGAGTTCGGTACCACTTTACATTGGGGACTGGACAATGTGGACATTTTCTAAGACTATCAATAAATAATAAGTTCTTACCCCAACCAGGTGACCCAACAGAACTGAGAGTCCTATAGAGAGTGCAGGAGATCCTACATTGTCCTCCCGTCTGCTGTCCGTAGAGGCATAGATGCAGAGCAGAAGCTGCAATGTTAAGATGATTTCCACCGTGACGGCTTGGCCTTCTGTTGCATTGTTGCTTGGCTGGAGAGAAACCATCACGCAATTAATCATATTCCAAACCCTAAGGATATTCACATGAGTTTATATTACCTTATGTTTACCCACGCAGAAACATGTTAGATTACTAATGCCACTTCTGTATGTAAATAGTCTTTGTTATTACTGAATTAATTACATCACATTACAATTTTCCTGTTTAGTCGACAGACTATTCATTTCAAGAATAATCTTCCCATTAGATTATACGTGCCTTTTACATATTTTCTGCATGCTATTTACTAGGGAATGCACCAATACCGATACTAGTATTTGTGCCAATACTGAGTATTTGGGCGAGCACTCGTACTCGCCCAAATGCTCCGATACCTTCCCCAATACTGGAACTTTCGGTCAGAGGAAAATTTCCTCTGACCAGTAGTGCCGTAGGGGAATATGGAGCCGGCTTTCTGGGCAATCAGGAAGCCGGGTGGCGAGTAATAACGTGCCTCCCGCCTTCCTGACTGGCCGGTAACCCGACTCCATGCTTATTGGCTGGGAAGCCAGCTTGATAATAAGAAAATGTAGGGAAGTGAGGTTGGGCAGAGGAGCTGGGCCAGCACAGAGAGTACATGGACACTCTCCAAAGAAGAGAAGCCTATGAGATGCTAGGAGGGATGGGGCAACCCTTACCTCTCTCCCTCTCTCTCTAGCCCCGTACTTCTCTCTATCCACTTTTATTTTTCTTTACCCCCCCCCATCTCCCCCAGTCTCTCTACACCCTTCTCTCTCTTCTCTTTGCCTCTCTCCCAATCCACCTTCCTCTATTTCTCTACCGCTCTCCCTCCCTCTCTCCACCCTCTCTCTTTACACCTCTCTCTCTCTAACCCTCTCTCTCTACACCTCTTCCACTTCTCTCTCGGCACCTCTCTCTCCTGCCACCTCTCTCTCTACATCTCTCTGCACCCCCTCTCTTTGTTTATTTCTCTATCCACCTTCCTCTATTTCTCTCTCTCTCTCTCTCTGCCCCTCTCTCTCTCCACCCCTTCTCTCTCTTTTTCCACCACCTCTCTCTCCATTCCTTCTTTCTCTCACTCTCTTTGACTCTCTCTCCATCCACCTTTCACTATTTCTCCACCTCTCTTTCTCTCTGCACCCCTCTCTATTTCCGCTTTCCTCTTTCTCACACTTCTTTCTCTATCTCTCTCTCCCTCCACGCTCTCTCCCTCTCTTTCCGCTTCTCTCTCTCTCTCTCTTCACCTCTCTCTCCTTCCATGCGTCTCTCTTCTCCTCTCTATCTGCTTCCCTCTATTTTTCCACCTATTCCTATCTCTCCACCTCTCTCTCTCTTTCTCTCCCTCCATTACTCTCTATCTCTGCTGTCCTCTTTTTCACACTTCTCTCTCCTTCTCCCCCCTTTCCCCCCTCTTTGTCTTCTCATCTCTCTACATATCTCTCTCATTCTTTTCCTCTGTCTTTTTTTCTATCCTCCTCCTCCTCTGTCTCGCTAATACTCAACTTGCCTTTATTTCTCTGAGTTTTCTCCTCAAACCCGGTGAGAACTAAGAGAACTAAGTGATAATAGTACCGGAAATAACCATTTCCAATCTACTTTACAATTACCTTCATGATTAAAAACATTGGATCCCTGTCTATGCCAGATCCACAGTATGACCAGTCTAGTGGTCATCAATATGTCAATCCAACCAAGTAATGAAGGCGGCCAGTGAGAAACACCAAATCATTATAATTATAATTAATGAGTATTGACAAACTCCTGGCTTTCTATAATTACATGTTCCATGCAACATTTAGGATTCCGCCATTATTCATCCAGAGATCTGACTTAAAAACAAGGAAGTAGTGTAGTATATTTCCTAGGCACTATAGGTGAAATAATTATGACCTCCATGGTTTCTAAACTATCCCTTATACTACAGTTCATAATCCATGTGCCCTGATTCAGAGAGCTGCCAAAATGTTATTACTGAATTATAAAGGAGATGGATGGAATACGGCAAAATATCTCTCCAGATTTAGTTACCCACACACAATTTGAGATCCTCCTGCCCTTGGCATGTGACTAGAGATCCTATTTGTCTGGTTTTGAACTGGACAGCCTATTTATTTTTTCCTCTGCTTGGAAATTAATCCAGGTGTATACTTTACACTAGAACACGAGGTACAATTTGGCATCATTCATCTGTCGTTGATGATACAGTGTATAAGTCTTTGCCAGGTCATGATATAGCTAGTAGTTACATTCAACTGGACTTGTTCTGTAATGTTGAAAACATTCCTGACACTTAGAACTTTAAAGTGGCTTGTTTGAGCTATAAAACATCTTTAACAAGTCCAACTGAATGTGTCTAACTAATGTGTGCCACACTACAGTGGATAAGACACGTAAGCTGCCAGAAAATTTGTTTTGTTTTCCTTTGGGGTCCATTCTGATTTTTTAATTTACATTATTGGAACCGATATTCATTATTTAGATTTCAGATGGATCCCATATTTTGTTTCTTAACGCCCCAAAAAAACAAAAAGTGTAAATCCATCGTTAATTACATCTTCGATGTAGATCCTCATTAATCACTATTCCCACTGCTCACTGATTCGAAGAAAGAAAAAATCTCCGCTACCACATCCGAACCTGACAAACTGTAGCTGCTACTGACAACTCTCTGGCCCTTTGTTTACATTCTATTATGGACAGAGAGCTGTCACAGAATGCAATCAAAGGGGTGGAGCAAGTCGGATGCAAGGTGGATGCATCTGAATTTTTGGTACAGCAAAATTTCTATTTGTTTGAATTCATTATTTTTTCCATTCAACAATTCAGATTCATCCGAATATGCCAATATTCGTCCGAATTTCTATTCAGAAAGAAATGAAACTTACATGTCAACAGTGCATTACATCTGTACCAATGCTAAGTCTTTATCTTTGACTGCTTACCCCGCTGATATGACTGCTGAAGCCTAATCTGATTGAAAGCACCTTTATGCATAGACGTGCTGTCTGTGTGGAGGTACAAAGTGTCCTACTTCCCTACGGTTAACATCATGCAGTTTCCATCTGTTTGGCAGACAACAATGTTATATAATTATAATAAAAAGTAACACCTGAATTCTCTATTGTGCCCAGCACGCTGTCTCTGCACAGCTTCCATTATAGTGTACAGCTCCCTGACCACAATATGGCTGCATATTATGTGATCTTAACAAAGACTTGTAACTCCTCTGAGCAGGCCCTGCCCTCTCCCTTTTAGTTTTGCTGTATTCTTTGCCCAGGGCTGGCCATATAAGCAAGAAAATAAAAGTAAAGTTAAAAAAAAGGTAAAAGTAAACACCAACTATGAATATTTGGTGCCAGGCATATATCTACAAGCCATTTTGAGTGGTGGCCCTATTATAAGCTAATATATTACTCATAAGCATGCAATTTACTAATACGAAAGCAAACACTATGCTATCTATATGTATAAAAAACGATTTACAATTACGGACATCTCAACTCTCCCGGATGTTCCGGGAGTCTCCCGCTATTAGATATCGGCTCCTCAACACCCGGGAGAGAAACATTTTCTCCTGGAAAGGTTTACTCTGCTCGATCTAGCAGAGTAACACTTTCCCTGCTGTCTGTTTTTTTTTTTAGTTAGTCAGAAAAAAAAGAAAAACGGCACAGGAATGCATAGCTAGGTTGCTATTGGCTATTTCAATTTGCAATATCCAATAGCAGACTAGCTATTGCACCTGCCCACAGCTGCTGTCAATCAGCAGAGGTGGACCTGAAGTTCTCCATCAGGTCCACCTCTGCTGACTGAGAGCAGCAGAGGGGCGTTGCTTGCGATCATCGCAAGTACGATCTGCCTATGCAACATAGGCAGATTGTACGTTTTTTTAAGTACCTTACAACCATCGCAAGACAAAAGTCTTGTGATGGTTGTAAGGTGTGTGCCCAGCCTAAGACCTAGCTAGCGTCACCTTTAATCGGGTACCAATCAGATCTGATTAGTGGCTGTGGAAAAAAACTCCAGTTCTTAATCTTGCCATACAACTATTATTTTTTCTTGTTCGGCACCACAGAATGAGTAAGAAAAAACAATTGATTCCCCCATTGCTGGACTATTGTACTGCAAACGCGCCGCTGTCAGAATACCCAAACGATGACTGCAGCTGATCACTGCACTAACCATTCAGCCGAGAATTATCTTACTGACTCCCAGGACAAAAGTTGATTGAAAAATCGTCTTTTGTCAAACAAAGAGTTAGAAAAGGGGTCACACACTGCTTGAGTCATCAAGTCTCGGATGAAATTTGAATGTGTATGGCCAGCTTTACTACCTACACAATGATTTCCAATTGGTTAACACCAATCACCTACCAGCAGTGTTGTCTAAACAAATTTATAATTGTTACTACTAATAATTTGCAGTATAAAATGTCCATATCCTTTGTGGAGCTGTGCAAACTGAATGCAACTCACAAGGATATAAAATAAGAAATGATTACAGATGTATAAATATATTTAAACAGAAGCTATACAGAAACTACACAAAACTTTATTCAAAAACATACAAGATAAAGAAAAGGTACAAAATAAAGAGATACAGTGTGCCTGTTGGTGTTCCAGATGGTGGAGGGGTCTCTGTAGTTGTAATTAAAAAGAATATATAATAGATCATATTTTTATCTAAAGCCTTTCTTACTAAAAGCTGAACTCTAGGCCTCAGAGATTCAACTTATATAAATCTGCTTTGGCCAGTAGCTGGGAGGAGGTGTGATGCAGATACATCACATCCTCGCCTCTCAGAGTGCCGAATGTAGAGAATACAGCTCCCATAATGCCATGGTGATTGTAGTAAATTGGTGTCAATGTGGAAGCGATTTTAGGCCAGCACATTGAGCTTGTAACCATTGCCAGTGATTAGACTTGTGTACCCACCCACATGGTTTTCAGTAGACAGCCACAATGATTCTGTAAACTGGCCATACACCTATTGATTTTTTTTTCTATCAACCTATGGTCAGATGGTAAAAGTG